GAAAGACATAATATAGATTCTTCAGCAAATTCACTTATACTGGATTTTATAACAATGTTCTCACGAGACCAAATACCACCAATTGACAATCTTGTAAGCAATCCTGCTGAACCTTCAACTGTAAACGTCGATGGTAACATTCCACGAAGGTCATCTATTGACATCGTTGAGTCACTGAATTTAAATATTTTCTTAAAGCAATCGTCATTATCTAACCATGCAATAGCTTTGAAGTTTTCATTCGAATATACATCTGCTTCATTAAATGTAAAACCTGACTTCTTTGCAGAGACGACTTTAAAATCTATTGAGTTTGTTTCAAAATTATATGCTATGGTAACTTCTGAAGGTAATGGATGTCCTTCCGCAGTCAGTTGTTCTCTCACTACCGTTTGAAGCTTTGTGTTAAAAACTTTCATGTCATCTCCTGTGTCTAGGTTCACATACACAGCAACAGGAAAACTATCTTGCTTCTTTGTTTCATCATTATATCTCAAAACATTAAAGTTCTTCAATAATATTGTTCTTCCTGCTGGAATACTTCGAACCTGTCTGATTTCAATAGCTTTCTCACCTCCTACATACTCTACCCAGTGTCTTGGATATTCATAAGTATACTGACTTTCTTGAATTTTGGTTGGTTTCATCATAACGTGTTCATAGTATATCTTTATACTCTTGTCAGTTAGACTCGGTGCTATGTTCTGAATATTTCTGACTTGCATTTTTAATGGAGATAAAATGAAGCATTTAATACATGACGTAGATGAAGACATGAATGAAACTACAGACAAACTTAACTCTTCTCTTATTCTTCCTTTCAGTAAGGACTATGATTCTGTTCAAATGGTGTTATTTCTATTGTGGAAAGATGGGTTCAGGTAAGACATTTAACCTCATTCGTCATATACTCATAACAGAGCGTTTAGGAAACGACTCTTACTATGACCAAATCATTATATCAGCAACTTCAGACTCTATGGACTCAACAGCGAAAACATTTATGTCAAAAGTTCAAGCCTCTGTCGTTAAAGTTCCAGACAGTGAACTCATTGAATTTCTTCAACGTTACATTCGACGTAAGAGGAAATATTATGCCATCGTTGAATTTATACAGTCAGGAATGCAAAAGACTTCTGAGGAGATGGAAAGAATTATTGACAAACACCACTTACGTCAGTACTCAGGAGTTTACGATATGAAACGACTGACAAACTACATTCTATCAAAACTTTCAAAATACCCCTTCAAAAAGTATCCTTCAAACACTCTGCTCGTTTGTGACGACTTCGCCGGAAAAGGTTTAGTGTCAAAGCCAGACTCACCATTAGCTAACATCATAACTAAAGTCAGACATTACCACTTAACTGTAGCAATACTTATGCAAACATGGCGTTTTTGCTTTAAACATAAAACGTCTCATAACTGACTTCGTTATCTTTCAAGGTTTCTCACGTTATGATATTGAACTCATTTGGAAACAGTCAGGTATAACATTACCTTTTGAAGAAATTTGGGAAGCATATAAGTCTCTCATCTCTCCTCGTTCATACCTTGAGATTCATATCATGACTAATACCATTAAAGTCAAAAATATTCCATGGGAACGACCAACATTGTTTTAAAGTTTAACCTTCAATTGACTGATGGTAAACAAATTCCATGCATCTCTGTCGCCATTTCTGTTAATATTTTTGCTGTCATTCATATCATCCACTTCCCATCCGTTAGCTTTTGAGGATATGCGTTAGAATAGCTGTTCTTAAATGAAGGCTTTTCACCTTTGAGAGCATAAACTCTATAACTTTCTGCATACTTTATGTTTGAACCTCCTGAGCCATCATTGACATAAATTTTTATAGGCTTCCACCCTTTGTTCATGTTCCTGCTTCTTCCCTTAGCTCTTTTGTTCAGTAGTTCTACATCTTTATACACAGCACCTGTCTCAGTGAATTCAACAATATTTTCATTCGTTAGCTTTACATTCAAACCCTTGTCGAGTATATTGTTCATTTCATACATATAAAAGGTTTTTATTCTATATGAAATGAGAAGCAAATCCATCTTAGCTGGTGCCGTTAATGTTCCAATTGAACCAACATCAAATGTTGACTCACGAACGACAAACAATATTGTCATAAAGAACTATAGTTCAGAGTGTTTGAAAGAAAAAGAACCAGAACTGAAATCCGTGAATTTAAACTCAGCTTCAAACGCTAACGCTACATCAGATGTTAAGTTAGAGTATCCACCACTGGACCAAATTCTTTCAAGAGAAGCCAACGACAACCCTTACACAAATGTTCAAACAAATCCTTCAGATAACGTAGACCATTACCTTCTTCAGTTATACCAAACAATTTTACTCAAAGACGATAAGAAGCTTTTGACAAATCTTATAAGCAAGAACCAAATAATTCTAACAAAGGAGGACCTTGAAAATGTTATCTCACGAATAACAGGGAAACAATGTGTCATTGACTATCTCGACCCTGAAATCGAATGCTGTGGTCAAACTCCACATTCATGAAAATAGGTAACATCCGCATCATTGAAACACCAGGAACTACAGGAGTTGAGTTTAAGTATAAATATTCGAACGAGTATACAAAACTTTCAACAGAATATAACTTTGTTTGAAATATGTTTTAGTAAATTAAAGCAATTTGTAATATCTATCCAAAACTTCTTCAACAGTATCGAACTCATCTTCATAATGCAAACCTAATCTTATTGACTTGGTGCAGTTTTCACTAACACAATATAGCGCTTTGCGCTCGGCGCCTTTGACGCCTTTTTCTGTTCTCTTGACTGACATAACTAACTCATTTGTTTCATCAAACAGCAACAACCAAAGTTCATGACCTAATACATAACATTCATACTTTATATTTTTAGCTCTGAGTTCTCTTGTAAGCTGTTGCATTTAATATTTTCTAAAAAGTCAACTTCAACAGTCATTCGCACTGGTGCCTTCAGTTCTACAGGCTCTCCTTGAAAGTCAACAAGTCTGAATTGCATGTCTTTCAAATTATGAGGACTAATGCGAACCCATTTACCTAAATGAGTTGCTATGACAGGAACGTTTGGAATGAACATTGAATTGACTGCATAACAGAAGGATTTATATTCTACTGAACCTTTACTATTAACTCCTGAAATGCCTGTGACATTAGCTATTTTAGACTCAATGTACAAACAATTACCATAACATACGTATGGAACAGATTTCATCTCAATCGTTTTGTCAACACTTTTCAAAGGAAATGTCATATGGTATGCTCCTAAAAGAAGTTGAACTCTATGACTCATTCGTGTTATCTTGAACTCTTTCTTGCTACTGAACTTCAATGTTCCCTCAGAAGAGAGTTCGACATCTATGTTGTCAATAGTTTCTTCATTTATGAGAGTATCTATGACTCCAGCAATTTTATCTATTCTATACTCTGCTCTGTTAGGAAATCTTATTTCATGCTTCTTTCCATCTATTTCAAACTCCATGAAATCTGTTTCATCTGTTATGACAAAAGTTGCGATAGTATTGAAGTCAACAACTCTGAAAGCAAGCGCTTCATTCTGAAGACCTAAGTTTGTTTGTAGCTTTACTGTTCCGTATTCGTTTGGGTCAGTACTTTGCAAATAGAACAACATTTTATTCTCATTAAAATATGACTATTGCTGCATATGCGTATGAAACAAATGAAGCAAGAAGAGCACATGAACTAGTAAACGAAAACTCAACTTTAACCATTGAAGGCAATGATTTAGTCATTGACGATGGAAAAACTAAAAAAGTCATTGATTTCGATACTTTTAACACTTATGACCCATTCATTACAATAAGTAAAGTTCCTATCATAAATGATGGAACGGTGCAATATATAAATTCTACAGTAGATGCCTCATTAGTGAAAGTACTGAATGTTCTCATTGAATTGTTAAAGAGCTTTCGATTTGACGACAACATTAAATGCCTAAAGAATTTAGTCATGAATGAGAAACAAATTCTCGGCGTTGCTGGTAGCAGTAATGATGTACACCTTATGACATTAGAATATTATAACGAACATAAAGATGAACTGAAAGGAGAGAAGGGTGACACCGGACCACAAGGAATACAAGGACCTCAAGGAATACAAGGATCAAGGAATACAAGGACCTCAAGGCGAAAACGGTTTGGATGGAAAGGATGGAAAGGATGGAAAAACTGCTAAATCATGGATATGGGACCTTATAAATACTGGTTTAACAGCTGCTTCATATGGAGTTCTTCAATACCAAATCGGAAAGATATGGGCTGTACTTGGTGAAGAAGCTTTAATGACGTTAAAAATGCTTTGAACTTCATTTCAAATGGTTCGGATACTATTAAAACTTTATCTGGTTGGATGCAAGAAACAAGGAGTCAAATAGATACTGTAAGACGTATAGCAAACAATGCACGTACGGGATTGGATACTTTACGACAAGCACAAAATACACTAAAGGAAGCAAATGATATTCTTGGCTCAGTATCAGACATGCATGAAGATTGGCTTAAAGGTATTGACAAATCTTTAAAAAATCACAGTCAGTCTATTGCTGACTACAAGAAAAGTATAGATTTTTTACATAGTGCTATGGACGTACATGATGGAAGCATAAGGAACTTACTTAATGCTAACAATAACTTACCAGGAACTATTAAAGCATTTATAAAGTCCTTTGTAAAACCCGGTGCTCTAACATTTAGGTCTTTGAGAGCAAGAGCATTGAAGTCAAGAGATGCAGAAACTCCAACAGAACCTACAGAAGGAACTGAAACAACAGAAACTCCAAAAGAACCACCAAAACCAACAGCTAATGAAATATTGTTCGAATATTTTCCAAGGTACTCTGTTCTCATTGCATACATTCAAGAAATACTTAAGAAAGCAGACTTGACTTTAGGAGATGATGAAAGTTCTGTATATCTTTCGTTCCAGTTTCAAATAGCAGAACTTTTGAGACAGATATGCTTAATGTATGACAACATCTCTGATTTCACAAGATATGATGACGACCATGACCCCGAACACGGTGAAGAAGAAGTTTTACAAACATCCATTAAGACAGGAAAGGTTTTAACACAAAGTCTCATTATTGACACCAAAGATGGCGAAGTGGACGTTCTTCAAGAGCTGAAGAAAAATACTTCTTCGGGAGGTGGTGGTAGGCATGAACTTGAAATAAATGAGATAGAAGAGAAATTAGCCGAAAAAGCAGATAAAAACCACGTTCATTATATAACTTCAGACGAACAGATTATAACGGACTACCATGGATATTTAACACGAACTGAAGAAGTGAAGACGGAAGACCCCAATGAAAGAAGATATAAATACATTCGTGCTAAAGGTTATGACATAAGCTGTACTGTACAGTATGACACGGGTAAAGCACCAGAAGCATTTAGTTATAACGATGAAATTTATGCCTCTACTTTCTCTGTTAAAGGTGTATTAGTTGAACCAAGATTTACTTTGAGAGTTAAGTCAAAAATAACGTTTGAAGATGCTATTAAAAGTAAAGCTGACAAAGTTGAACTCGAAGCAATGAACAAAGTTTTGAAATCTCATAAACACAACATCTCCGATATAAATGAACTTCAAGCTACATTAGACAGTAAAGCCGACAAGAACCATACACATAAATTCTTCACTACTGTTAGAGCAGACGACATAATATTGAACTATACCCTTGGTTCAAGTGCACCTTTAGAGAATCCAAGTACAAGCGTAAAAGATACACTAAACTCCTTAAATAGTAAATGTATGAACATTGAAGGTCATGCCAGAAACTTTGAAACCCATGAACTACCAGCAATGTTAGACAGTAAAGCTGACAAGAACCATACACATACAAGTTTTACAACTGTTGCTATAAAGTATTGAAGGAACGGTTGAAGAAACTGGTGGGGATGCATTATATTGTAAACCTCCTAACTTTCCACAAGGTTTAACATCGGATGACGACATAACGACGATGAGAAACATTAGATGTAAAGATGTTTATGTCATGAAGGATGAATATAATATTAAATTCACTGCTCAAGATTTATATGACAAGAAGGCTGACAAAACAGAGCTTCAAACATTAAAGACTGAAATACTTCAAACATTATATCCTGCAGGCTCTATTTATACGTCAATGAACTCAATAAATCCAGCAACAGTTCTGGGTTTCGGTACGTGGGAGCAGATTGTAGATAAATTCTTATACTGTGCGAACTCTTCAAAGCAAACAGGTGGTTCGAAGAAAATTAAAGAAGCAAACCTTCCACCGCACACTCATACAGGAACTACAAACACAACAGGTAGTCATTCACATTCAATAACAAAAAGAGGTTATACAAATCTTGCAGCAGGTTCGGATAGACAGGGAATGCATAGATATGATATTTCAAGTGACCCAGTAGATTCAAGCACAGGTATTTTCTGTGGAACCACAGGAAATCATTCACACACTTTCACAACAAATCCAACAGGCTCGGGTGAAGATTATATGCCACCATTTGTGACTATATTCGCATGGTACCGCGTTCAATGAACGCGCTTGAGCCTAGAATAAAATCTTTAACTTTACATAAATGAGCTTGAAAGAAGTATTCGAACAACATCCATGGAGGTCATTTAAGAAATTCAATGAAGCTGCAAAGAGTTGGGGATTTACTAACAGAGCTGAAGTGAAAAGGTTCTTTGACAAAAATGTTGTACATCAAACAAAAATAAACCCTTACGACTACTTTTTACCAATTTACTCCAACGCTCCTGACGCATACCAATTTGACACTCTCGTTCAAAGCAGAAAAGGAGGACATAAACCATTCCTCATCTTCATTAATGTTAACACTCGTAAAGCATATGCATATCCAATGAGAAATAAAGGAACTCATGAAGTGTTAAGAGTTTTACAAAAGTTTGTAGCAGAACATAGCCCAAGTATTTTAACATCAGACCAAGACGGTGCATACCTCAGCAACGAAATCACAGAATTTCTCATTAAGCATAACATAACTCACTACACTACTGAAGACCATAACCATAACATACTCGGTATCATTAACCGCTTCATAAGGACTCTCAGAGATTTAAATCAAGAGCGAGACTTTACCGAAGAAACAATGAAACATTTCATCGAAGTTTACAATTCCTCAACACATTCTACAACAGGACATACACCAAATTCAATGACACAACAACAAGAAGAAAAGTATATACAAAAGAAACGAAGCCAAACACAAAATATCAGAAATTCAACACAATTTACCCTCATTCCTGGTACAAAAGTTCGTGTAGTTCTTGACGACAAACCGTTGACAAAGAAACGTTTAAGGTTAAGTCGAAATTATTATATCGTAGACTCTACGCAAGGTAATGGATATCTTATAAAAGCTGCTGACGACTCCATAGCATTTTACCCTCGTCATAAATTAGTCGAAAGTAGTAATGGCAAACTTGCTGAAACCATTGACGAAGCAAAGCGAGGAGTGGTTATTGAAATACTTGACTACAACATAAACGATGACACTTATAAAGTAAGATATGAAGGAGGCGTTGAAGATGTTATACCATCTAAGAACTTGAGAGAATCTAAACCAACTCATCTGGGACCATTAGAGCGGGAGTACTGGAAAGATAAAAACATGCCAGAAAGAATAAGAAAATTCTTCTAAACTTTTTCGTTGGATGTAAATCAGACAAAAATATATTATAGGTGAAGAGGTGAGATTTCACCTGTTTTCTCACCTGTTTTTTCACCTCTTGAATTTTCGTGAATTTTCACAAAAGACCAAAAATAAAGTTAGTTTTATTTTTTTTATTTTTTTTTATTTTGTATGTAAAGACAATAATGTCAGTCGAAGCAAAAACATTCACGAACAAATCTAATGGTGAAACATTCACAAAAGGCACTTATAACGGTATTGAAGTCTTACGTAGAGACAAGGATGGTTATATAAATGTAACAAATATGTGTCAGCAGTTTAGGAAAGACTTTAGAAAGTTGTTGGAAAATAAGTCCTGGGAAGAGTATTATACGGCATTTTGTGAAGAATATAGCAACCGTCGGAATTCCGACGGTTGCTTTTTATACAAGGTTCATGCAGGAATTCCTGATGAAATCAAACAGGTTAGAGGAACGTATGTAGACCCAAGACTCGTAAACTATATAGCAATGTGGGCTTCTCCAAAATATTGTATAGCAGTTGGAAAAATTCTGGACTCCATAGACAAGAAAGTTCATGAGAAATTAGATGAAGAAGAACTTGAAGATACAGTAGAGAATGCAAAACCTTTGTTTGAAGAAGAAGTTAGAAAAATGCATGAAAAACAAATAGAACATGAACGTGAGATATGTTCTGGTTATAGAGATTCTCCATACGAACTAGACCAATGGGAACAAGAAGATTTAAAGAGAGAATTTAGAGAATATGAACTCGCTAAGATAGCATTAGAAGCTGCAGAAAAGAAGTTAAAAGTTTGGGGTCGTTTTGTACAAAAATATTGTGAGTAAATGAACCATTTTTTTCGACAAAAATATATTTTAGGTGAAGAGGTGAGATTTCACCTCTTTTTTCACCTGTTTTTTCACCCTCATTTCTACCATCGTAGAAAACACACAAAACTCTTGAATTTGTTGCTGAACTCGGCAAAAATATATTTTAGGGTAGAAGGGTATATCTACCCCGTTTTCTACCCCGTTTTCTACCCTCTTGAATTTGTCATGAGTTTTCCCGAAATAAAAAATAAAGTTGGTTTTTTTAAAAAAATATTTTTTTATTTTTATTGTAAGAACATGTTAGCAACAACTTCACCAAACTCGTTAGTCATGAATCCTACGTCAATGTTAGTAGAAATGAAAAGCTTCATTCCTTCTTCATATACTTTCGAAACAGAAATCCAGAAGATAAAGCAAGAACTTTTAACAAGTACTTTGGACTGTTGTGCGAAAGATGAACAAAATGAACAGTATCTTTACGACATGCAGGATATTATTGACCATCTACCTAAACTTCCTGAAATCCAACAACAAAAACTCACTATTCCAGAATTCGATGAAATAGAAGTCGGACTGACTGACTCAGTAGAAATAAAGAAGTTCATACGAAAGGTAAACTATGAGTTTCTTGGATTTCATTGCAACCACAAAGTCATGGACAAAGATTGCGATATGGTATATAAGAACATCTCTGACATATACAAATCTGGGGAGTTTAAGACCTACGACAACTTTGTTTCGTTAGTTGCAAAATGTGTATGGCAGATAAGAGATAAAGATAGAAGAGGTAAAGTATGGAATGAACAGATAAAACCCGCAACTTTTGAGTTAAAGAAAACCATTGACGCCTTAGTCATACTAGCAGGTAAGATTTCAATGTACAATGCAAAAATGAACCCGCAATGTTCAAAATGTAAAGCAGCAATGAGGAAATATAACTACTCCGTCAAAGAGATAGAACGTATGCGAAACGACTATGCAGATTTAAAGAAAGAAGCAGAAAAGCCAGCAGAAAATAAAATGGACATGTTAGCATTTCTAAACAAAAACTATCCAACAGCTGACGATTTCCTTCTTTCAGATGTCAAGAAGAAGTATAAAGAAACTTTCGGTATCGTTAAAACATTCGATGTACTGACAGAAGAAATAGAAGCTACGAAATTGTTTAGGATTTCAAATATACATCATACAATTCATGTAAAACGCTTATAAAATAACTGAGGTGAAAAAACAGGTGAAAAAAGAGGTGAAATCTCACCTCTTCACCTAAAATATATTTTTGGGTCATTTACGCTCATTACGAAGAAGTTTTGACAAAACATGTACGATGAAATCTTGACAAAACATATACGAAGAAGTCTTGACAAAACATGTACGATGAAATCATGAAAATTCAAGAGGTGAAAAAAGAGGTGAAAAAACAGGTGAAATCTCACCTCTTCACCGAAACATTATTTTTGCTGAAAAATGACCAAATTTCATGAATTTCCTCATATGCTTGCTACCCTCGAAAAAACCGAGGAATGAGATTCCGTATGAAAACAGTGAAGAACAGCGAGTAAGTAAAAAAACCCTGGTCGCCTAAAACTCATGAAAACAGTGAAATTTCTCTAGACAGACTTTTTTCGGTCTTGCATAAAACTCATGAAAATCGTGAATTTCCTTAAGATAGAAAAAATAACGCTAATTTTATTTTTTTTTATTTTTTTATTTTGTATGTAAGAACAGTAATGTCAACATCAGAGAACACAACAACTGCTATCGTTCATGAAGCTATAAATGAAGAATATGAGTGGGTTCAGTTTAACAAACAACTCCGTCTCATTCGTTCGGTCAAAGACGATATGTACCAAATGCAAAGTATTTTGACAGCATGTTTTGCTCCAGATACTAAACACGCAGACGACTGGTTCAAAAACCAAAGCACACAAGAACTTTTGAGTGAAATTTCTCTAGACCGAGAATTCTCGGCCTTGCATAAAACACATGAAAATCGTAAAAATTTGCCAATAAATTTAAGAGGATATTATGTTCATAGACTTCTCGTAAATAATGTGGCACAATGGGCTTCAGCTCGCTATTCATGGTATGTTTGTAAACTTCTTGACGAAATTCATAGACAAGAACGTGAAGAGATGGAAAAGAAACTTCAAGCAAAAGATGAAGTCATTGAAGCAAAAGACAAAAACATACAGAAAAGAATACCACGTTCGGTACCAAAAGGAAAGGAAAAGAACTATAAGTATATGATTTATACTGAAGAGATGGAAAATGAAGAAGATAAAGATATGGTTATGTTGCATTTAGTCAGAAGAAACAACAAGA